GCACACATACACGACAAACGGAATAAAATCTCCAGAAATAGAACCAATTTTTATAAATAATCGTTTCTTCGTTTCTCTTGTACCCTTAGCTGAAAACGCCCTTCAAGATAAAAACGCTTAACTGGCCGAGCTCCAAAACGGATACATACGAACGGCGGTAAACCGCATTATACTATGAGGATTATTCAATATTTATTGGTAAGTTTATATGCAAACAATTCGCCCAATCATAATTTAGGCCATCGATGCCCAGATCGAACTCCGATAGTTGGCATTATTTTATCTCTCTTTGTGTTGCGCTTCCGGTTGGAAATGTATCGAAACATAGGAGGTGAACTGTAAAATATTTGCCGTGATTTTAATTATTTAGGTGACCTTTCGATGATAGGGGTTTCTATTACAGCCTATTCAATGGAACAACGCATTTTTAAGTTATTCACCACCGTCTATCGAATTGTAATGTCTATAAAAATATGATTGAATTCCGTCGCTCTACTAAAAGTACCAGAAGAAAATAGGGGCAATCGTAAGCTTTAGTCCCATATTATATTGATCGATTGGGGTTTTTAACATTTTACAAATATAATAACGATGAGTTTTTGAAGGGGGTATTATTGAAATTAATTGTAGATTGAACGTTTCCACTGCTGTGCTTGCCACTACATTGAAATAATGCGTTGAAGGTTATTTTCAGGGATTGGTTGACACAATTGGCAAAGCAAACAACAAAAAAACATAATTTCGTATGTCAAATCGATGTCTCTTCCCTGGGGCAATTAAAATGGTCTATATTATGTATTATTTTTTTGGACTCTAGCGGAGCAAATGATAACACTAACGGCGATGACCCACAAGAAACCGATGTGCTTTCAATTAACCTTCAATTTAATTTTGATTACTTTGATGATTTGCTGTTAGTCTTCCATTTTCAGTCATCTCCGTTGTTTTGGCAATGGAGATCAATCATTTGCTGCTAACAATAGGTACATACAATATAACAGCTCAATCGACCGAATTCGCTAGCGTCTTTCTGCCCGCACACTCGACATGGCCGCGAGAGAAACCCCAAGAAGACAAATAAAAGTTAAGCTGCACTGCTTACATGGCAATGGCATTTGAAAATACTAATATGTTGTAATTATTCCACAAGTCATCGGAGTACGCGAGTTCCTCCAAGCAGTGTGAGGTATGAGGTATAATATTGAAAATTGTGAGCCTTATATCAGGTGAAATTAATAAGGCGCATGCATGAATCCGAATGCCTGTATCTTTGATAAATTGTTTTTCTTCAAGTTGTATTTTTTGACTTTCATGCTCCTAGATCAGCGATTTCGTGCTGATGTGCCTTGATCCGTTTGAGGTGTTGTATGTGAAGCCAATGAATATATAAACTAATGCAAGTGCATTACTGACCCACAATATATTGTGAGAAGAGGTAACCTCAAAAAATTGGAAACATTCCAATACTTCGGAGAGTGTGCGAAAGGTGTGTCTGTCTGAAGTGAAATTCTACTTCGATACATTAACATTTTATTTATTTTGATGTGTGTTTCTGATGGATTTATCCACACAAATTAGTATTCTTGTCACATGCAAACTGGCCATTTGTATAGTAGCAACGTTCGTTTGTTTATGTTCCTCGTTCGTTCGCTTTTTTGGCTGGCTAGTTGCCCACCTTCAAAGGCAGCATGTAGAAAGTTGGGAGCCGAAATAAAAGTAAATTTGAAAAGACATCTACCTTTGCGCCATTTCTCTATTCATTTATTTAAACATAAATAGCTGCGCATTTACACCGGAAATGCGTATAGAAGAAAATTTCTCAATTTCTCCATAACTGGAATTTGTTATTAGCGATGACTGTTTGAATGTCGATAATGTTTTTATGTTTAATTAATTTTTGTAAAGTCAGACTTCATTATTCGACCTACCTCACAACATAAGCGATTTTGTAGAAAGTAAAAGTGATTTAATAATGTATATATATATATATATATATTCTCGATGTATGATTATTTAGGAGTTCTATCAGAGGTAAACATTTTGAGGGGCTCCGGTATTTATCTTTGGAGATAAAATCCACAAAAGAGCGGTCACTCACGCGATTTGGCATATCCTCTATTTGGGAAGGATTTTTCTCGGTCACTCACGCGCCGCAATTCTTGCGACATTTTTGATTTTGCAGTTTTTATTTCTGCTGTGTCTGCATTTATAGCCTTTAAATTAGTATTTATGCTAAGAACAAGGAGAACAAATGACAAATGTGGCCTTTCTGTATATTTTTTCCGTTACTTCACGTATTTGAGCACAATTTAAGAAACAAATTCTTCGACTTTGGTTCACTTTTTCAGGAAATGCCCATATAAATATACAGAATGCATTTTTCCGATATACAGATTATTCATATGCTGACAAAACGTTCATAGTCTCAAAAACGTTCATAGTCTCCAATTGTAAATAATTCACTTTCCAACGGAAGCAATTTTCCGTGCAAAAGTGTGTGGAAGTATGGATGTTGACTGTCAAGCGTGTCGACGCGAGTTGCAAATTGAAAACAGTTAGTTAAAAGGCAGCCAGATAATTAACACTAGATTTGCGGACTGGGCCAATTTGACTTCCCCGCCGACTACTTCCTTTTTAACGCTAGTGAGTCAATTTCACTCATAGAATTTTTGAAAGTTATGCGGTTAACTTTTACATCATTCTCGAAATGTATTGGTCCTATAAGTTCTAGACAACATTCAAGTAGCACATGGATTATAAAAATGAGAAATAAAAATAGAGAAAGGGTCAAAATACTGACAGATTGAAGATGGCGCACCCGAGGGAGTGGACCAATAATCCCCACCTTCGAATATGATATAGTTTTTTTTTTTTTTTTGTAAAAGTTTACATACAAAAGGATAATGCGAGAAGTAGTGGTCCGATATTCTCTATCTTCGAGATTGATTTAGGACTGGAAGAAATATTGCAATGACCAAAGCTGGGAATAAATCGGTAATTCCTCTCGAGAGTTATCGTGCACACCAACCAGCTTCACAGCCATTTACCAGCCGGACAGACATTTCAGCCTAAATAACAATAGTTTATATGTAAACACGATTTATATAGTCAATTAATTCCGCATCAGCGACACATTATTTCATTTAAAAATATGCAATACTAAATTAAGGTCGTAGTGACTGGCATTATCACCACTCTGGCTGGTGACTCGAGACTATGCAAATTTCCACATTACCCTAGAGTTGTGATTGGCCATTCACAAGAAAGAGTCCGCAAGAAACAGTTTGGGATGTTTGCGTTGCATAAATCCAAAATGTCATTGCGCTGTATCATTACATTATTTTGCCACCCCGAATTTTAGAGTTCCAAGCAAGTAGCAAGCAACTATATTTTAAGGAGACGCAAAGAAGAAGAAGAAGACAAACATGAGAAATATTACGTATCTATACAAGCGACAACCACCTTTGTTAAAAAATGTACCTTTCACTTTGCATCTTTTATGCGATGCCTCTTCTTTCTGACCTGCTCGCTTGCGGTTACATCTTTGGCAACAACAGCATTATCAAATGGAGCCTGACGGGTTTTTCTTAGCTGTATTGAAAGTGATGGCGATGCATCAAACGGTGGGCCGATTGCAGTTCGCCAACTGACAGTCTTGCTTTAGATGCGCATTAATTCTAACGAAAATCGAATTCCAAGGCCATTCACTTGCCTACGAAACAAGATTATTATTGTTTTTTTATAGGTAAGTTAGCATTTGCATTTTTGTGTTCCATGGAGCGTTTGTGGCGAAAAAAATCGAAAATTTGCTAGGAAGTGAACTTTAGCATTTCATTTACTGATCAAACAACAATCCAATTTATTTATATGGCATTGGCATTCAGAAAATTCGAAAACGGTTTTTGGAATAGTCAGTAGTCTTATTGAAGACATCGACGCATGAATATGCAGAGCTGTGTATATCCGATGAGTAGAAATTTATTCAGAGCATAAATTGCAATATCCATGAGTGTTGGTTTCAGGCCAAGTCGTACTGATTGCCTCCCATAGTTATAAAATCCTCATTTCGGTAAATCGATTTCCAACTTCCCAATATATGTAAATATTACAATCACGAAGCTTTGAGTGGTCGGTCCCACTGTTCCCCCATGCACCTCTGCAGAGTGTAACTGCAGTTTTAAACTTTTCCCAACGACAGATACTCATATCTGTTATTTGCTGGCTCAGTCGTTACGTGCACTTGTCCGACATACAAACATACCCATGCCGTACAATACGGCGAGATGCTGGCGATAATGGCTGTAAGCGTAATAACGAAGATAATGACGATCATGATTTACAATGAATGGGGCTTCGTTGTGTTTCGATGACATTGTGAAATATTTGAAATAAAGATGACGCGTCATTTCGACTGTTTGTATAGGATTTGAGATTTCGGATTACTGTGCTATTGGTCATAATGTGGCCAAGCAAATCTGCCTTTGGATGTGTGCGTATGTGGTCAAGCCATTTTACTGACTAACACAAACAGATATTTACATAATATCTGCTTTAATTAATTTCAAAAAATGTAGTTTTGAAATGACAACAGCTATGCTCCGATTGTGGTCTACATGGGAAATGAGGAAGATACAAAAGAAGGTGAAGCGCGTGTGTATGTGTGAATGTCGTTTTCTGATGCTTGAAGTGTTGACCTTGTATCACTAAAAATGTATAATGACTAAAAACAAAAAATAATAATAATACATAGCAGCTCGGCATCAGCTACACTAACTTCACAGCACACTTTGATAAGGTATAACAAATTAAAAATTCATGCAATTCAAGACAAAATCAATACCAAGCCAATCGATGGCGATGAAGAAACTGGCTAATCACAAACCGAATCAATAGTTTCGGTTTATGGTTAGCCAGTTTGACCACTTTTACTTTTCTGTGGAATATTTAGGCAGATGTGTGTGAAACTTGTCTGGTGTCCCGCTGAAATGCCGTTCATTACTATGGACATGGTAATTGGCATGATGCTATCCGGAATCAACAATGAATGAACATAATGAAATCATTTATATAAAAGGGATGAAGCTATAATCCAGCAAAATGTCTACGTATCGCCTCAGACCGCATAGCTAGTGAGCCATACGTCAGCGCTTCACCAAAAATCAAATTATGTAATACTATTCTACATGACGAAGGTCTCCTCAACTATGTTTGTTTTTTGAGCAATGCCGTCGTCCATTATTCTGGTGGAAATTTTCAAATATCAACGTAATGAATTTCTTTGCCCGGAGCTGATTGCTCAGATGTGTATCGTTTACCCAAACCGAGCACAACGAACCAACGATTTTAACGAAAAAACTATTAACAGAAATGCACACCTTTCACATTCGTATTATGAAGATACCCGAAATGTAGCAGCTAAATATCCCGGTATTTGTGGACTGTTGTACCAATCGCCTGAAGGTGGAAGACGTCATCAGTACTACATTGGTAATTGGTAAAGAATACATGTAATAGGCAAATCAGCAGCTGACACGCCATTCAGCCATCATAAAGACAATGGGCTTAAGCCTTTTGTATCCATCGATACAAATGAAGATGCTTACTTAAATGTGGTTGCGGGTTTCTTTGACTCGTGCTTGGTTTTAGATAACGTTGCTTTCGGGGATTTTAAAGGAAACGAATGCATATATTTCCTGTCATTATTTCCCACTGACCCAATCTTCCACACACGGCAAATCCGATCGAATCAAAATGAGGAAGCTTGGCACCACGCTAGAGCTCAGCTTAGTGATTTAAGGAAACCCATTTCATTTTCTGTTTAATTATCCATAATTTGCGGGTTGGCCAGTTGTTGGTCTGCGAATAGTTTCTTCATACAGAGTGTTAAATGGCATTTGGTTATTGCATAACAAAGTGAAAACATCTTTCGGGTGAACGTTGAAAACTTCATCTCGTAATGCTACACTAGCCACAAACTTGTTTGTTATCGACAGCAGTTAAAACAGCAGCTGTTTAAATGCTTTCACACATGGCGGTGCACCGCGGTGTGAAGTTGGGACACCTTTTGGCATATTTACAGGAGGAAATACCAAAATTATACGTATTTTCATGCATAGCTTAGACTTCGCACAATCCGAATATCTTAAGCAAACAGGCTTACTTCCTGAAATCCTTTGGAAATGTTTTGATTTTTGTTCTTTGTTACATTGCCTAACCGGATGCCATACTCTCTTTTAAATTGGGACAATTCACGAATATTTGAATTGTCCCAATGTAAAAGAGAGTGGGGAATAAAATTGTTGACAATTTGCAAAGTGTGGATTAATAATGTAGAACAATGCAGTAAAGTATGATCTGTGATATGAATAAGCCTGCAAAGACTTTGCATCGAAGCCCATTGTGAGGGCCCGTCTCTTTTTACACTGGTTGTGATACATTCAAAATATAATTACGTTGTTCTTTCGGAATACATACACACGCTATAATTATGAGAATTTAGTTGTGGGACGTTAAATACGGACGTACAGTACATGGCTGCAATGTACAAGCATGCAAGCACAGATGGAGTCATGATTGCAATTTCTGACTCTCAAAATGTCATTGTAAACTGTCAAACCCCATCTAATTCAAACTAAATTCTTGATGTGTCCGAATCTTTTATTATTTATAATTATTCTTGACTTGTTCATCATTTCCCTCATTTATAGTGCTGACTGTTAATGAGCAGGTGGAATAACATGTACAAGGCAAAGACCAGACAAATGGCGTATTTTCTCCGACCATTTTCTGAGTATAAGTGTGTGGTTTAGTCATTGCTTAGATTGGCCAAAGTATGTTTCTTTCATCTGGTGGGGAGTGTAGGGGCCGACAAACTCCATTGCCACCTTCAACATGCTTACACCTTTGTGCTTAGTCTGTAGTCGAATGTTTTGCTAAAGGGCAAGCTCACTTCCCGCTGTTTTTCGTTCGACGTTGGTAACATTAGCATTTGAAACGTAACTGATCTATTCGGGCGAATTGGACATTGTTGTGCCTTGTATCGATGCCGACAATGGTGAATCCACAGAACAGTTATTTCATTGCATTTAACAGGGAAGCTGAAAACTTCCTGAGCCATGTTTGTAAGCCCATTTTGGGGAATGAGAGTTCCACGGGTATTTTTCGTAGCGTTACATAAACGACAACAAGGCCCCCGACAAGATTGGCAACCAAACGATGCACTCAGACGCGAATTGAACTCATTTATATTTAATTCGTTTAAAGTGATAATTGAAACTTTTATCTTGACCTGAAGGTGCTGCAGTTTTAGTTTGCATATCATTTGATGGCAGATGGAGGATGGAGCGTGTTGATTGGCTTACTTAGCCATCATCACAATTTAATTGCCAGTTTATGTTACCTCCAACGAGGGGTTATTACTAGTGGCAATGATCATTGACATTGTTTGGAGTTGCCTTTTGGAAATGGGTTGACATTAAGAGGGGTCGCCTTGTGGGGATGCCATTTTGCAGGACACTATTAAAACACAATTTCAGAGATTTCTACAATATAGTAATGTTCCTGATTCGTTTCAGTTGATTGGGATTTTAGTATCCCTAACAGCAGCTACTGCATCACCCAAAGACGATAAGTCAAAAAAAGTAACAGAAAGGGGGGATACACCTAATGGAACAGCTCGGGAGTATGAAAGCAGTGCTGCAACAGAACGAACGACCTCCACATTGCAAGGCCGTAGTGCCAAGTCGATGAAATCTAATACAGCCGGAGATAACCGTGGCAAACGCAATCTTTACGATTTCGGCAACAATTATTTGTACTCACAAGTAGCAGCTCGACGAGCTGGTTACAGTCCAGATCCTAGAACGGCGTACAACACTCAACAGGCGCTCTTCAACGGAAATGGAATTGGTATGTGTATTTTCACAAGATTAGATTGCATTTTAATGGTTTCTAAAATTGCATTATTATTTAGGCCAATATCCGGGTAACTATGGTCCCTATCCCCAATACATAGAAGCTCCTGAACCCATTATTGAAATCATTATTAAGGATGCTAATGAAACCTTGCCTAGCGCACAGCCCACTGTTGTCAAGACGAAAAAGAAGAAGGAGAAGGTGCATGTCTTCTATGTCAACTACAAAAAGGATGAGAACAACAAATTACATCTGGAAAGTCCCATTGCTTCTCTGAACAATGATGAAACTGAGGAAGAGGAAGAAGAAGAAGTCATTGAATATCCCGTGACCCCATCTCCCCCCGTCAAATCAACGACGTTGAGAGCAATTATTCACCCTGACTCTGAGAAATATCACGCAGACAGTGGTATTCATGTCACATTTGGAGCCGAAACCAAAGCGCACACTGGTCATGACGAGCACGACGCTGAAAGTGTGCAAAGGCAGGTGGTTGCTGTTCCAGTCCCAAGCGCTCAAGCATCACTGAAAACACACTACATTGGCAATGCAAGGCAAGACTTCCAAGGACAAGCGCGCTCGCCTTTTTCGAGCAGCTTATTCCAAACTTCACCTACGTTGCAATACCAAGGGCAAGCGCAACAACAATTACCGAATCAACATGTCACTAGCCTGTTTAGGTCCGTGCAACAACAACATCAGCAAACTTCGCAGTACTCACAGCAACCAAATTATCCATCGAAAACCCAGTCACAAGTGAAGTCCCCTTTTAGTGCCCAAAGACCGCCTCAGGGCCAATATAATCAGCAGCACCAACAAAAAGGACAGCCGCAACAACAACAGCAAAACTTTCGGAAGCCTTTGAATCAAATACAACAACAGATTAATCAACAACTACAACAACAGTCCCAATATTACGTCAGCCACAACCAATTGTATCAAACACAACAGCAACCTCAGCAGAACACTCAAAGTAACCAATACTACAACAACTTGCCCCAAAAACCAACGCCTGTCCCAAAACAACCCATAGTATTCCCCACAGCTCCATCGAAGAGTCAGGAATTGCCTATTCGACAAACTCCTCAGCCGTATCAACCGATCAAATTCCGCCCAACTCCAGCTTCAATCAGTGCCCAGAACAAGCCAACTCCAATTGCAGTCAAACTAGAAAATTCCCATTACAATTCGAAGCCCTACCAATTTCAGAGGCAACCTCAGTTCATTCAACAGCCCACCTTTACGGTGCAGTCTCCCACGATTTCACCGCCTCAATATTACAAACAACAACAGCAAAGCTTTAACCATGCCCAAAGTTCCAACTACCAAAGCGGCAACTCAAATTATTATACCCAGAATAAGAATCAACAACCATCAACTTCCAGTCAGCAACAACCACAACACTCGACACCACAATCCCATAGCTCCTCCGGTGGATCATCTCCCAATTTGAGCTGGTTGAATATCAAACCTTCCAAAGAAACCGAGCTATTCAAATCCATACCCAAATTTGAGCAACACATTACCGAGACCATACAGAACAACTACCAACCGAGTTCTTATCAAACACAGAATCAAGTCATCCACGACATTCCAGCGCCCAATTTGGGACCTCAACAACAGCAGCAATATGTCAATACCAACAGCTATAACAATCAATATCAACCACAGAGTCCGCCTCAGTCGCAAACTCCAGTTCAGTCTCAGTTCACCAATTTTGTGACATCATCAAGCAACTCTTTAAACCAACACCAGGCGATCACCACACCATCTCCCCAGTTCGTTGAATCGACCAATGGTCAAAAAATAATGGTAGTTACACCCATGCCTCCAAATGTTTACCAACAGTACCAAGCTGCCCACTACCCTAGCCCTCAGGACAACCAAGCGCAGATCATCACAAGCATTCATCAATCCCAAGATCAATACAACGATTATTTCCAACAACCGAGACAGGGGTCGGGTTCGACTCAATCTGAAAGCATTAAGGATGGGGCCAACTCGGCGAACTCCCAATTCAGTGTATCCACATATCATTCTGACGTTTTCAAGGAACTGGAACAACGAAAGCCCAACGAGAGTCACCAATCGGAAAGTGCCTACATTCCTTCCAATGAAGCAAACAAACAAAAAACCGAACCCACGTCAACAACTACAACCCCGAATCCCAAGGTGTTACAGCAACTTCCCGATGAGGTGCCTGACGACTTGAGGCAGCAACTGATTTCCTCAGGCATATTGAGCAATGCCGACATTTCAATTTTAGATTACGACAAAGAAGGAGATATTGCATTGGAAAACTTGCCTGCTGAACATTTGCAGCACTTCTACGGAGCTGGTGGTGGGGCGCAGATTTCCGAATCGAAGAAGGTTCTGTCCGTGTTGAAACCTAATGGCGACAAGGTATCTCTCGACGCTAAGGAAATAGAACGAGTAAAAGAGTCAAGCACATTGCCACACAATAAACAAGTGGATGCCAAAATTGTTCGGTTTGAAGGAACTGAGTCCGAAACTGTGGAAGCCTCCGGTTCGGCTGAACGTCAATACAACCGATATTTGCCCTTGAAAATTAATGCTGCCAACTTCCCCAAGCCAGACGTCGAAGACCTCAAGTCGAAAACCTTGCACAGTGTGGTAGTCTTAGCCCCTGTAGATGGTTCCCTAGTTGAAGACACCAAAGAAGTGAAATTTCTCGGCGGAGATTTAATAAAAACCTTGGTGAAGAAACCAACGAAAGAAAACTTTAAAAGATGGCTCGAAAAGGAATCCCGCACAGACGTCGAACAACAGTCTGTGGTGTTGCTTGTGGCCGAGTGAGTATTTTGTTGTTATTTTTTATGTATAGAACATCTTGCTCATGACATTGATATTCAATTCTTGTTTTGTTCATAGACCTTCCAGCACATCGACGGAACAAGAAATCTTTATGTACGACATAAGCACGGGTGAAGTGAATAGATTGAATGGTGAACTATCCAGTAAATTTGTCAATGTTGCCGAAGAAAATGCCAGTGCCGAAGACTTGGAACGAGGCTCCACCTTGGATCCCAACTTTCTCGACGCGATGATGCAAAGGACCACAAGCTAATCTATTTGGACTGTTCACAGAACCGAATCAGAAGACGACGCGTTCGCCGAATTGTCACAAAAAGTGCCACAAATAACCAACAAAAAATCAATTTCTAGAAGCGCCATGTTTTCCTTCTCATTTAAGCACCTGTCTTCCATTTCCACCACTTTCGTCAATTTCTAGAAGCGCCATGTTTTCCTTCTCATTTAAGCACCTGTCTTCCATTTCCACCACTTTCGTCCGACTTGCCCCGAAATACAGCCAATGCCTTAACGTGGCTTTTGCTATCGCATATCGAAGACGCAAAAGAAGTCCTCCCTTACATTTGTGGTTACAATGGTAACATAGCTTTGAACAATTCTATAAACAATAAATATTTATACATACGTACATATGTATGTATGTACTGTTTGTAATCTACATTCATATACACATATGAATGCGGGACGGTGTATTGTTTATAAAAATGTTTGTCAAGCTCTAAATTGTAGTTAATTGTTATTAAACTATTTTATTAATTCTTGTTGTACATACTGAAGTAATTTTTATATATCACAAGCGTATTTACTATATCGGAACTTAAGTGAATAAAGTATTTTTTACAAAATATGTTATCGCCATATTTATTCAAACACATTTGCCCTGGATTTAAAATGCAGCATCAACAAATGTTTGTATTACTTTACACAACTACTGCTAAAAATATTTACATTGTGACTAAATTAGCAAACGATCGCCTTTTTAGTTCGTGGCATTTGAGCTTGGAATGCATTTTACATGCGAGCTTTTTTGTTCTATTTGAAAGAGTATGCAGTTTTTATTCTCTTTTGGTATATTACTGAAAATTGTTACCAAATATCGATTTAACAGGCACAACTAATGTTGTAGTTGTTCACTGCTATTTTTAGTTGCTAACAATATCAAGAAGCTATAGCTTTGCTCTCTAATTTTTTGTAATTTGCTGATATTTGTTGCAGATATACATGGCTGTGCTGTATATTTTAGGGATGAACTTAGCAGCAATGCTGCTTCCTCATTTTCCATTTAAAATCCCAGGTGGTGGTTAAAATCCCTAAGGTGGAATGCTACACTTTCAAAAGCGGATACCCTATATTCTTGATCAGAATGACGATTCAGCAAAATATGTCCCTCGTTTGAAATCAATCGACGGAGCTCGAAATATTTAAGATAGACCTTTGAAATTAACATTATATGAACGGGCCCATCAATATTCGGTATTTTTGAAATTATGGGCACGTTTATAAATCGATTTGCTGTAATTTGATATTTTAGGTCATATTGAGTAGCAAGTCTTTGGTTTTAATTGGTAGCAAGTTTTCCCTTTTTCAAGGTATTTTATATATTATATATTAGATGTACATATGAAGTTCCTATATATTTGGTACTAGCCTACAAAAAAAAAAAAAAAAAAAAAAAACCGCGAACTATCTACTTCTATCTATTTGACGCACGTTCTACTTCTCACTGTAAAGTGTTGATAACAATTGCGCTTACTTTAATTAATTTTATATAAGAGTAAATATTGAAACAAATTAACTAAATGTCTATCACGTGACAAACAACCACTTTATGTATACCAGTACGTGACGTACACTCTTCTACCATTCTTTGCCAATGCAGTTCTGTTCGGCCCCTTTGCACCTGTTGATTTCAACAAGGCGCATGTCATTTCATTGTGAAGAGGATAATGAATAATTTGGTGTCATTGCTTCGTAGTTGGGCACAACAGATTAGTTAATCAGAAGTTAGCAGCAAGGCAGCTTTGACAAGCATGGCTACAAGTGAATATTATGAATATTTGTGTAAATTGCGTAGAAGTTTTCTGGGTAGTTTTGATAGCTCGGAATTCGGATATGTTGTTTACCCGTTTTTAAAAATCTTCAAATTTTTTGGTTTCATGCCAATTCGCTTAGAGCAAAGCTACCTCCTCGACGAGCACTCGAAAGTCATATGGGATGTGTGGGCAATAGTATGGTCTTTCATAGGAAGTGCAATGTATGTGGGTAAGTTAATGAATGATATATATATATATATATATATATTCTTTTTCCAGATATAACGGTATATCTGGAAAAAAATATCCCAAATTTTCCGTAATAATTTTCTGAACTCACACTTAATCGCTTTAGTACAGTACACATAATAATTTTAATAAAAAAATTGTTTAAAAATATTACAAACGAATCCAGAGTTAATCGCAACACGTTTCCCTTCAGTCGTGTGCTAATTAGTTGACCGGGACTGTATATCATAACATAACGCGTAGCGAAGTGTTTCCGAATGCATTTGAATACATATGAATAGGTAGTTCATTTCTTAATCCAAGTTCGTTTCTCTGTCCAGATTATTTCAATTAGTTGCCTAACATATTGTTCTAGTGAACTTATAGTGTGGATATGGGAGGAATTGTTCGTCCTAATTTTGGATTAGACTTTAGTAAATTTTCAATAATTGTTAAGTTTATGTTTAGAATATCCGCGAATGGGAGACGGTATTGTGAGAACTAATAATTATTTCATTATGTCTACGCTTATTTCGAGTTTTCAGGTGGATTTGTTCTAGGCGTTTGCCACATCGCATCGTCAAAAGGCATTGAAAAGTTACACGAATACATGGTCATAGCCTACTTCACCACATGGGCCCAACTTTTCTCCCTCTTCATATTGGGTGGCTACGGAGTGTTCAATAATTGGTTAAATATTCAAAGGTTGCAGCAGCTGTTGGCGTGGATTTCGAAAATCGATTATCAGCTGGAACAGGTTACCGGTAGATCAATGAATTACAGCCGTCTGCGGAAGAATCTCTTAATTCAGTTCGTAGTGGTGTTCGTGGTAACAGCCTCGCTCTCAATGATAAATTGCATCATCATATACTCGGATACGGACTCGTTGACCTTGATGTCGAGTTGCTTTTGGTTTGTCTGTTTCTTTCCAATACTGCTGCTGACCTTCAAGGAGTTTCAATTTTACAACTTAGTCTTTGTTCTCAAGTCAAAGTATGAAATAATCAATGAAGAGCTGGCCCGATTTAGTGAAAGCAGTCCGCTTCGGGCTATTCGGGGGCAAAGCCATCAGATTGGAGTATTCTCCAAGTCAAGGTGCTCCGAAAGTGTCTTGAGACAACTGTTGGGTATATATAGCAATTTATCTGAATGTGTGGAAATGCTGTTGAGGATTTTCGCTTGGCACCTGGTGCTGATGACCAGCGTCTCTTTCGGGGTCATAACCATCCAGGGTTACAACTTGTTTGCAGCGCTTATAGTCCGAGTTCTGCATATGAGCAATTACCACTTGGCCGTTACAATTGGGTGGATATTGTTACAGATCGGAGTAATTGGCGTAAATATTAGTGTTTGCAGCGCGACGGACAAAGCGGTAAGAGCAATTCAAATACACACAGATACATTTTATTGTAACATTTAAACGACTCTTTCCTCATTTTGTACGGTAAAGATGTCTTCGGCGGGACCTCTATTGCACCGAATAACTGCATTCAATAACCATAGTGATCTTGAGTTTTATCAAATACTTCAAATATTCGCCATGGAAGTAGCACATCGGAGGAACAGTTTTACTGCAGCTGGATTCTTCAATATGGACTTTAAGTTGATAACCTCGGTAATTGAAGAAATGCCAGACAAAAGTGTCGATATTTATTCTCTGTTTGTTTACAGATAATTGCCGCTGTAACTACATATTTGTTAATAATTATTCAGTTCCATACCAGCATGGGAAATCCGCTCGTTCCGAGTGCTTAAAGTAATAACTTCGTGTTGACCATGAGTCGTTCTATATCTATTACCGACATTTTTCATGTATCTAATGTTTATATGTATACCGCTCTAAACTATGCAAATAATAACCAGTAAAAACGATGTTAAGTTCGGCCCGGCCGAACTTTTAAATTAAAAGCGGCTCCTAGGAGAAAACTCATGTTATGAGAGGATCTACCGAAAAATACATGAGAAAAAGATGATTGGAACTCTCAAAATATCTAATAGTGGGACTAAGGGGCTATAATAAAACGGAGATCAATATTGATATTTTTGACAACCAATTACAATACAAAATGCCAAATTACAGTCAACTTGGTTGAAAACGGGTCCAAAATTCTCAAAATATCGACTTCGGTCAATATAACTAATTTTTAGTGAGGAGATGTCTGCCTATAAACGTGGGTCAATATTAAACATTTTTAGTTTGGAGACGTGCCATACAATGAACACACAAAATACCAAATTTCAACGAATTCGGTTGGAAAACCTGTACAACATAGAACATAGAATTTTATTCTGATTAAGAACTTTGTGATGTCTCTGATGAATATTTCGATGTATTGCAAACGGAATTGTAAACAGAACAAATAATTTTTCGAAAGTTTTAGGATGACTTGGATTGACTATAGGTTTAATGTCGCACATAATTCTTGGCCAGGCTCAATAAGAGTTTACAATCCACAATAATATAGAAAATCACGCGACAAATTTGCCCTCTAAAACAGTTTCAGGAGCAGATGTTCTGCTCCTACTTGTTGAACCCTATTGAAAATGCCGAATCTTGCGGGTAACGTTATATGGGGTTACCCCGAAATTTGGGCAAAAATTAATATTTTTGTTAAATTGCAGACAATTTACTTGTATACTAATGTTTAGTCTGGACCAATATGTCGTGGTTTCAAACTCACAACATAGTTGTGTTGGGTATAAAAATGCCATTGAGGGACGATCTACATTGGTCTATATAAAATTATATTACAATGTGCTATGCAGAACTCGAGATGTTGCCAGTTTCCAAATTAAAAAAAAAAAAAAACAAAAAAAGGTGTTCGGAAGTTCAGAACAAATTCGGGACTAGGGACATGTTGTCTATTGTAATTAGAGTTGTTCTATCTAGTTCAGTTAGCTGATCGCTCTTTTTAGTTCAGCTCTTTTGATTGAACTATTTCGGTCTTCTAGATCAGTAGTTCAGTCGTTCGCAATTAAGCTCTTTTATTCAGCTGTCGTTTTACATCGTCGTTCTTTTAATAGTTC